TTTAAAAATTATTTAAACAAAAACAAATTAGTACTTAATAGCTAGCTAATATACTTTTTTAAACTAATATATTATATGTTAATTTGATTAAATTTTTTTTTTAAAAAAAAAACTTAATAATCTTAGTATAAGCTAATAACATCAAAAAATTATTGTTTTTTAATTTGTTAAAAACTTTTAATAAGAGAAAAATTACTACAACTATAGATAATACTTAAATATTTATAAAATAGCCAAGTAATTCAAATTTGTAATAAAAGATATTACAATAAACTTATTATTATAAATATTTATAGTTATTATAATTGGTTTTCTAATAAAAAAAAGAGCAAAATTGCTTAAGTATAAAGGAACAATACATAATAAAATAGCATTTTATATAATATTTAATAATATTTATTATATCTAATCTCAAATAACCCAATAAACCATTTGGGTTATTAGTTATTTACCAGCACTTCTACGACTTAAATATATATCAGATATGAAAACGCAAGCAAAAAAAAAAGAATAGCATTAATAAACACTTGGAATTGCATAGACAATTCTCTTATATGTATTTTTAGATTTTGGTTTGTACATTAATGATTCATAAATTCATTTATAAGTAGTTATAAAAAAAAGAATATTAATTAATGAGTACTTAAGGCTGCAGTATCAATTTTCCTGTTGACTTTCTTCCTTCCAAATCCTGATGGGCTTGCTTCACATCGCTTAATTTATATGTCTTCCAAATTTTAATATCCAACTTTCCTTCTTTAATAATCGTAAATAATTCTGCTGTATACTTTTTAAACTCTTCTTCGGTTTCAATGTATTTAAATAACGTAGGCCTCATCAACTTTAAATTTTTAGCAGAAAGCTTTAAAATATCAAATGGTGGTATTATGCCACTCGCATTTCCAAATGAAATAAACGATCCTAAACGACGTGCACAAGCCAGAGAAATTTCGAAAGTATCTTTGCCCACTCCGTCGAAAACTGCATGTACACCCTGATTATCGGTAATACGCATGACTTCCTCAACAACATTCTGGGTAGTATAGTTAATTACATGTTTCACTCCAGCGGCAATTGCTAATTTAGCCTTCTCATCATTAGAGACAGTACCAATTGCATGAGCACCAAGATTTTTCACAAGTTGCACGAGAAGAAGACCGGTACCACCCGCGGCTGCATGGATAAGAACCCAATCATCTTTTTTCACTTCATAAGATTGAGTTACCAAGGTCCACGAAGTTAGACCCTTTCAACATGTAATAAGTTAATTTAGATTATTGTATGGTAGAATGCGTGTTTCTCTGAACGAAATAATACCTGAAGAAGAGAAGCAGCAGCCAATCTTGAATCGATACCATTTGGCACTTTAGTAACATAGCTTGAAGGCGCTTTTGTATATTCGGCATAAGATGAAGCTCCAAGGTAAGCTACACAATCTCCAGGCTTGATGTCTTTTACACCATCACCAACTGATTCTACGATGCCTGCACCTTCTCGACCGAGTACTGCAGGAAGCGAAAGGTTATAAACTCCAGATCTGCCAAAGTTCATTCGTAATCCGAATTAATAAGAAACAATAAAATGCTCTTTATCAAAAGAAAAAAGAAAGAAACCTATGATATGTATCGATAAAATTCACTCCAATAAAATTGTTTTTCACCAATACGTCCATCGGTTCAGTAATTTTAGGACGCTCAATGGTAATATATTCCAAAACTTCCACACCACCTGTACTCTTAATTTGGATAGCTTTCATAGACAATGTCATTGCTTATAATATAATTAAGATAGTCAGTATTACAAAAATAAATATTCAAAGAAATGTTCATTATTGCTTACCGCGAAATTGAAATAATTTTGAAATTTTAAATAGATTGCAACTACGAAAATTTTGAAGCCTGGCGATTATCATGGTCATGTTACTAGATTAATACAGTACAGTATTACTGATATGTGCAGACTTATTTGTTATTAAAAAACCGGTTTGACATAACTTTTATCAAACTTGTCATAGTACTTACGATCGTTTCAATGAATAGTACCAAATTTAGATTAGAATACTTTTTCAAAAATAACAGGCACACATCTGTACAGGTCATGATTTACTAATTTTAAAATTCATTGATTAATAAAACATCTAACTAAATTAATAAAAATGAAATGATTTGAATAAGGCGACTTGAAATCAAAACTTCGTTTAACGTTATCTCCTCAAATTAAACAAACTTTTGAAGAAAGTATTATTAATCATTGAACCTGATTTGGATCATTCGAACCTCGTTTAATTAATATTTGTTTAATCCCCCCACACTAATGCACGTTAAACGAAGTTTTAATTTCAAGTCGTCTAAAGATTATTTAGAAATGTTAATTAGTGGCATTAAAATCATGAATATAAAAACATTCATAAAAACTTATCTCTAAAAACTTATTTGCAATCAATTACCTAATATCTCTCAAATGCGCGAGTATAAAAATGATTTAATCATTGGAATTAAAAACATAAGCATAAAGACTTATCTCTAAATATCTAATACTCAAATAGGTGTGAGTATAACGATGATTAACTGATTAACGCTAATTAAAATCATGAACATAAATACTTATTTTTAAATATCTTCTTTAAACACTATCTCTAAATACTTAATACCTTCCAAATAGGCATGAATGTAAAGATAATTTACTTATTCATAAATATTTTCTCTAAATACTTATCTCTAAATACTTAAATACTAATTTCTAAATATAATACTTATCTCTAAATACTTAATACCCTTCAAATAGGTGAGTATAAAGATGATTTATTAACGCTAATAAATGAAATTAAAATCATGGACATAAATACTTGTTTATAAATTCTCTAAACACTTATTTCTAAATAGATTTATTGCCGAATACTCTTAAATCATTTATTAGCATTAATTTAGTCTGTGAATATAAAGATAATTTATTAATCAGTGGAATTAAAACGGAAAATCAATACTTATCGTGATTCATAAATTCAGGTGAGTAATCCGGAGATCAAATTTATAGTGGGTCTAATCTCTATAGTCGTCGGTGAAATGGGGACTTGGTTGTCGGAAAAATGATTTGACGGATAAATGGCGTCAGAGTTTTGAGTGTTGGCGTAATGTGAATATACCCATGACGAGGATACTCTTTTGTATCTTGGTGCATATTTGCAATTACTAACAAAAGCTATAGTATTCTCTGTACGACTGGCTTTACAACCAGGTTTATGAAAGCAAAAAAAAAGTTGTATCTACAAATGAAATTTTTTACTGTAAGGCAAAAGTTAAAAAAAGCAACAGTTATATTGTACTTGTCGTACTTGTCATACTCGCTAGGGAAAAAGGTCCTTTCTAGGTAAGGAAGGAGGCAGAGCCTGGTCTGCTTCTTCTCTACTCTTCTTTGTTGTTGACGTTGTAGACAGGCTAGTTACTGCACACTAAAAAACTACTTATCTGATAAAAGAAACCCATATTTAAATATCTTTCACGAATAAAAAAGTTAAATCGAGATATATCAACTGAACCAAGTGCATATCCGAACGAAATACTCATATAATGAAATTTTTATCCATTTGTAATATGTAGGTATATATATGTAAAAGAGTTAATATAAACGTATGTAAAAGAGTTAATGTAAAGAGTACGCGTATACAGTACTTCTGTACTTCAGCGTGTCGATCTCTTGCATTTCTAACGTGACCAATTTAACCAATCAGATTCGAAATCTGATATCTAGATTTCTTTCACACCCTTCGTATAGTAAATACAGGTTCAAGGATCCTAAATACTGAAATAGCAATTTCGAAAAGAATTTAAAAAAAAAATCGAATTTATGATTCGAATTTGGAATAAGAGAAATGGAAATATCCGGAATCGGCATCAAGTTTTTTATCTGTTGTCCCAGAATTTGAGAAATCGTATTTGTATTTTAAAATTTTTGAAATCGGAAAATGAAATAGCAGTGTTTAAATTATGAAATATATAAACTGTGATGTAGTTAAAAATAAAAAAAATTACATATTATGAATATTCATAATATTAATATTTATGAATATTAATATTATAAACTCGATAAACCGAAGACTCAGGGTGTTCTCAAGCGCTTGTCAATCAGTCGAAATAGATCGAAAAGTAAATTTTAATTAGTAAAAAAAAATTTTACGAATCAATTGTATTTAATATTCATATCTGATATAAGGCTACAATAGTTTAATACGTCATATAAAATCAGAGAAAAATTTATTTAATAGCCGATCCAAAGTACCAATTAGCAAGAAACAGAGGCCCAAACATCCTTTTTTTTCACAGAGTTGGCTAAAATTTTTCAGTGATGGATTATAAAAAATAATTGTTTAACTACTTTATCGTTATCCTCTTAACATTAACGTTATAATCATAGTTATTAACTTGGATATTTTTGTTGAAGGCGAAACAGAATATGGAATTGTTTGCATTTTTTTTTTTTTTTTTTTGTCTTTCCGTTTTTTATTATAACTTTGTAAAAGTAAGTTTTAATGGTAACGATAAAAGTATTTGCACAACCATCAATTATTGCAACATTGAGGAAGTTACGTGAGAATACGTCAATTACAACATTATTCGTTTTATAGATCATTAACAAAGATCTATATAAATTTTACTATAACTATTACGATCAATTGCTGATTCATAGAGTATGCTACTTGAGAACACCCTAAGTAAAACTCGATAAACAGAAGTTGGCACAGAACATTTGTAGTAAATAAGCCGAATTTACTAATTAAATCTTGTAAACCGAATTTTTTTACAACTGTTCTCATAAATTCTGGGACAACTGATAAAAAATTGATACCGAATTGTTTTTTTTATCGGCCGATAAAAAAACATCGATATCGGCATCAATTTTTTCCCGGAATTTTTTACTAATCCCTCGGACCTAACGATCTTTATTTATGCAATAAATGTTCATTAGAAAGAGTCAATATTTTCATTTTAAAAAATATAACTTAAAGATATCTTCACATTTAGTCAAGAAGCGTTTATAGCAGTCTAGAGCTTGTTTTTTTTAAATGCAAGTCTTGCAAATTGCTTTTTAGTCCCAAGTCCATAGTAGTGTTTGTACCCGGGTCGGGTATTACCCGGGTTACCCGCGGGTAATCAGATATCCGGGTGGTGATTATGGCTACCCGGGTAGATTTAACCAGGTAATACCCGGGTAGATATAACCAGGTAATACCCGGGGGTAATTA